CTGGGCAGCAGCTCTGCAGAAAAGGGCCTGGGGGTCACAGTGGACAATAAGCTGAATATGTATGAGCCAGCAGTGTGCCCTTGTTGCCTAGAAGGCTAATGGCATACTGGGCTGCATTGGTAGATGTGTTGCCAGCAGGTCAAGGAAGTGATTACTCCCCTCTGTTCAACACTGGTGAGGCCACGTCTGGAGTACTGTGTTCAATTTTGGATCCCCCACTACAGAAAAGATGTGGACAAATTGGAGAGAATCCAGTGGGGGGCAACAAAAATGGTGAGGGGACTGGGAGACATGACAAAAGACTGAGGGAACTGGGCTTATTTAGTCTAGAGAAGGAGAGACTGAGAGGGGACTTAATACCAGCCTTCAACTACCTGAAGTGAGGTTCAAAAGCTGATGGTGCTGGACTGTTCTCAGTGGTGGCAGATGACAGAACAAGGAGCAATGGGCTCAAGTTGCAGCAAGGGACGTTTAGGTTAGATATTAGGAAGAACTTTCTCACTAGGAGGGTAGTAAAGCACTGGAACAGGTTACCTAGAGAGGTAGTAGAAGCTCCACCCCTGGCAGTTTGCAAAACCCAGCTAGACAAAGATTTGGCCAGGATGAGCTAGTTGGGGATGGTCCTACTTGGAGCAGGAGTTGGACTAGATGTGACCTCCTGAGGTCCCTTCCAACCCTAACTTTCTATGATTCTCTGGCACCAGAGCTGGCTCTGTCAGCACTTTTGCCTTAATTTTCCCTTCTAATATTTCTCACACCTCTATCATATGCAACTTATCTACTTCACTACGAAGTGCCCCCTTGTGGAAGGGGCAATATTGTATGAGTACTAGCTTTGATATCCTCTACTCTGCTCTTCAAGAATTCCACTGGCTTTTCTCATGCCGAGTGCCGTTTCGCATGAGTATACTTAGGTCTAAAAAAAATTCTCAACACATCATCCATTTAGTCTACAACATGCACAGTGCCAAAGAGACACCCACTATCAGGGTCCTCTATCACTCTCAGCCCACTTCCTCAATCCCTCTTTTTTGGCAGTCACCCTAACCCAGTGGGTTCCAACATTTTTTTCATTTGCAGACCCCTAAAAATTTTTGAGTGGAAGTTCAGGCCCCTTCGAATTGTGTGAATTGTAAGTGTGGATATTCACATACTTTTGATTGATCATAGTCAACTGGCCAAGTTTGCTGACGACACCAAACTTTGGGGTAAAGCATTCACACCCAAAGACAGGAGGGCAATCCAGGCAGATCTTGACAAGCTCAGGAAATGAGAACCTGACGGTGTTCAACACTGAAAAATGCAAGGTTCTCCACCTTGGGAGGAAAAACCTGCAGCATCTTTACAGGCTCGGGAGTGCTACGCTGGTTAGCACTACAGATGAAAGGGACTTGGGGGTCATGATTGACCACAAGATGAACATGAGCCTTCAGTGTGATGCTGCAGCTAGTAAATCAGGCAAAACGCTGGCTTGTATCCATAGATGCTTCTCAAGCAAATCCCGGGATGTCATTCTCCCCTTGTACTCAGCCCTGGTGAGGCTGCAGCTGGAGTACTGCATCCAGTTTTGGGCTCCACAATTCAAAAAGGATGTGGAGAAGCTTGAGAGAGTCCAGAGAAGAGCCACGCACATGATCAGAGGTCAGGAAAACAGACCTTATGATGAGAGGCTGAGAGCCATGGGGCTCTTCAGCCTGGAAAAGCGGAGGCTCAGGGGTGATCTGGTGGCCACCTATAAGTTTATAAGGGGTGTTCACCAGGATCTGGGGGAACGTTTGTTCACCAGAGCACCCCAAGGGATGACAAGATTGATGTGTCACAAACTCCGCCGCAACTGATTCAGGCTGGCCATAAGAAAGAACTTCTTTACTGTCCGTGCCCCCAAGGTTTGGAATAGACTGCCACCGGAGGTGGTTCAAGCACCTACTTTGAACGCCTTCAAGACACATTTGGATGCTTATCTTGCTGGGATCCTATGATCCCTGCTGACTTCCTAACCCTGGGGCAGGGGGCTGGACTCAATGATCCTCTGGGGTCCCTTCCAGCCCAAATGTCTATGAAATCTATAAAATCTTTCATGGGCCCCTTAGACACAGTCTGCAGTTCCCCATCACAGGTTGGAAACCACTGCCTTAACCCTTTCCTTTCCCTCCCAACAGGAACACATCAGTTGCTCTACTGGGAGACTTTTCCTCTCTAGGAGAGAGTCTACTATTGTCTTTACCCTGTTTATTCTCTGCCTTGGGCTGTTCGCAGACAACTCCCTGTACGGAGTTGCTAACCTCATCCTTCTTTGACCTTCCAGTTCTACGAGCAAGCTCAGCAAATAAACCATTCTACTGATGTCCTGTCTTCAGCCACCTTCAGCTCCAGCTCAGCAGACAAACCCCTCTGCTACTTTTCTAGCTCTCAGCTCTCTTCTGGCCTGCTCAGGAAAGGAAGCAAACCAACCAGCCTGCCAACCAAATCCACCATCTCTAAGGACCCTTTTAAGAACCTTCCAGCAAATCTCAACGGCCTTTTCTTGTTCCTTTAATTAGCCCTACTCATCTAATGAGATCCAGATGAGAAGCACCTGTTCTGTCACAGGGGCACCGAATCCACTTTGCTTTAGGGGCCAGCCATCCTCTCCCTGAAGTGCTGGGTAATTGAAAATATTTAATTAGAGGATCTGATGACAAACTAGCATTTGTGATACAGATGTTAGTATCAGAACTAGACTGGACTGGCAGGTGCTTCCCTTGCTGGATGCTGCAGCATAGATTTGATGGTTTCATCAGTCACCTTCAGTTCTTGGTTCAGGAGCTTTTGGTAGTGCTCCTTGCAGCAGTTTTTGACTGACTCGTTGTCTTTGAGGAGTGTACTGCCACCTTCAGATCTAAGCAGGGTGAGTCTGCAAGAGCTTGGTCCACGCATAACCTTGACTGCACTGAAGAAGCTCTGCATGTTATGGCTGTCAACAAATTATTGGATGTGTTCCACCCTCTCTTCCCACCATTTATTTTTTTGATTTCTCAGATCTTTCTCTGGGCTGCTGCTTCTGACTGGGTGTAGGTTGGTTTTGCCAGTCACAGAAAGCTTTTCTCTTCCGATCAAGAAGGGCTTTGATCTCAGCATTGTTTTCATCAAACCAGTCCCGACGGCATCAGGTGATGAAGCCAATTGATTCCATCCAAGCCTTGTGGATGGTCTCCTTTAGAGCTTGCCAATCCTCCTCAACACAAGCGTTATCATTTTCAATCCTAAGATTGATGAGTTTCTTGCTGAGATACATTTGGAGGATGTTGCAGTGTCTAGGGGACTAGAAGGCCCCGGGGGGTTAAACTGTGACACTGCTCCCACTTTCAGTAGCCTCAGTTATATGAATTCTACGGTTCTCCCACTGTGCCACAAACAGCTAGGCTGACTGCACTGGTGCAGCTACACAAAGGATAATAACTTGTTATATAACTACATACAGCCTATAAGTATATCAGGGGCATGCATCATGGCCTGGGGAAGCATCTATTTGCCAAAGTCCCCCAGGGGAGGACAAAAACCAAGGCGCACAAACTGATTGAAGATTGCATCAGACCAGACATAAAGAAAAACGTCTTTACAAGTTGAGTGCCGAAGGTTTGGAATAGTCTCCCCCAAGAGGTGGTAAAATCACCCACCCTGGCGATCTTCAAAAAACCATCTTGACGCCCACCTTGCTGGGGTCATCAGACTCCAGCAGTCTTCCTTGCCCAAGTGCGGGAGGGCTGGACCTGATGATCTGAAAGGTCCCTTCCAGCCCCTAACGTCTATGAAACTAGATGTGACAGTGTACAGGAATTGTGAATACCCCAGGATTGCTCTGACACTGCAGGCAGCACAGTCTGGTGGGGGATGGGATTCCCGGTCATGAGACGAGACCAGGAGCCCTATCCCAAGGAGCTCAGGCTCAGTCTTATGATCCAGCATTGCTCTACATTCCTCACCTGATGATTATAAGCCCCGTACAGTGGGGGTTCTGCAGGACCAGTGGTAGGGGTGATGGTAGTGACCACAGAGCTGCGAGGACTCATGAAAAAGGCTGTAAAGACTGCACTGAAATGACTGCTGGCCTGACTGTAGAGAAGCTTGCCTGGAGCAGCTGGGAAGCTTTGTGGGATTCCTAACTGGCAGCAATTGAGATGATTTCATGGAGCTGGACCAGGCAGCTGGTCTGAACATCTCTGGATTGGAGCAAACAGGTTAAAGACAGCCAGCCCCTGACAACCACCAAGGATATGTGAGGGTGGTATAATACAGACAGGCCTGAGCCAGCTTTAAAGTAGGTAGCTCGTATACCAGTAGCAGTCCAGGTACAGCAGTCAAACCACTCAAGTATCCACCCTGCTTCCTCTGCAAATTTTGCAACCTGTCTTGAGCTTCGTGCTACAGTGGCTAAACTAACACTATCCAAGTCAGCTCAGGTATGTCCCACAGTGCAATCTTATCAATGACTCCAATGTCGACATAGCGTGAGTCTAACTGGCATTGCGGGTGGGCTTCTGGTTAGGTGTGAATTGTGGCTTAAGAGTTCCTCCCCTCAGCAAGCCAAGCAATTACCTCAGGGTGACAAATATACTAGGTTTGGCTCACTTTAGGGTATGTAAACCTATATGTGGCAATCCTGATTTCTTTGTTTGCTTGGGTTTTCTCCCCCTCTTTCTTCCAATAAAAGGTGTTTGTGGCTCCGTGTTTGAAAGAACTTTGAATACATGCAAGTGGAGAACTACACCCTAAAAAGGGGACTAAGAAATTGTATTTTAATTTGTCAGAATCAGGAGTCAGAGTCTAGGGGCTGGCTTAGGATATGCTTTCACATATATTTTAGAAAATGACCCGGGGCAGATTGAACCAGCCCTTGCTGCTGCCACTGGCACAAGCAGGAGTGTTACAAACAGACATGGCCGGATCAGGGCACAGGATGGCAGGGGTGTGGGGCACTGAAAGCAACTTTCTAACTCCCTGCTATGGAACAAGTCACTCACCTATGTGTCTGTAGACTGCGGGTGTTGCTCCTTGCCAGAGTTTTAGCAAGCCTTCCTCTTGAACAATCCCTGCTGCAGTACGCAGCATGCCACGGTAAGGCGCAGCTTCATGACGATGCGTGGCAGCTTCACCTTGGATCTGCAGGCGAGTTTTTGTGAGGTCCAGGGGAAAGGTCACTAATGGGAGACAACGTGCAATAAAAATGAGCAAGGCCCTGCCCTACGAAACAAAAAGTTGCAGGTCGGCAGCACGTGCTTGGGGCACCACACTGTTAGCAGGTGCAGCCCTCCCTCTGGCAGAGCTTTGCTGACAGAAACAGGGGCAGGAGACATCATCTCCCAAGGGTACATAAGTTGCCTTTTGGGTCTATTGTGTTCTTTCTTAGACCTGCAGTCACGGTGTCTTTTCAACAAGTAGTAAAAATAAATCCGACACCCTTCATCTCATCCCATGCTATTTCCCTTCAAAACCCAGTTCTTTTCTTCCACCCCCTTTCTGAAAGAGTGAAGTTTGTTTCATGAAGCACCCAGTTTCTGCGAGACTTTGGTCTGTATTAATCCTACCTTGGTTTCTCTCTCTTATACACTGTGGGCAAGGCCGTGATGTGCATAATGTCGGTGCTGGAGAAGGAGGCCCATTAAAGCACCCATTACTTTTGTGGGGCCACCCTGCATTTGTAGCTTGTGCCCTAAGGCAGGGGTAGCCAACCTATAGCATAGGTGCCACAAGTAGCACGGGCAGCCTCTGTGTGTGGCACATGGCTGATTGGGGAGGAGACAGGCAACACAGTGGCAGATAGGGCAGGGAGCAGAAAGCAGAGCAGGCAGGGAAAGGGAATCAAAGTGGCACCTGGACAGAGTGTGGGGCTAATCTGTGGCCTGCCTACCAAAAATTTAGGCCCCTAGAGAGACAATATACACTACGGGGTCAGTAACATCTCACCCATATGCACTGTACAGATTAGCCTAGAATAGACAGGCCTTTGACTGACACTTGGTAATATGTCTGAGCACCCTGCTGATACAGAAGGAGAAGTAATCCACACTAACAGCAGGTTCACAGCCTATTATTTTCACCAGTGGAACAAGGCAGGGCTGGAGGGGAAGGGGGAGTTTACCTGAATTCCTTCCCTGAGTTGCTGTAGGGCCAGTACAGCCACTGACCAACTGTCCTCACCCCAAAGAAACTTGACAGCCGTTACACTGCTAGTGCCCTGACACCACCACTCATCATGCTGACCAGCTCTCGTCTTGCCATTTCCTTGCACTTTGCCATCTGTCTGCAATCGTGTTGTCTCTTGCCTTAGACTGTAAATTCTTTCGGGCAGTAACCACCTTTTGTTCTGTATTTGTACAATACCTAGCACACGGGGACCTTTGTCCATAACCCACCTATTATTATACAAATAATAATGTTTCAAAGACTAGCAAAACCAGAGTCAGTAATTAAATAATTTTTTTTTGCAAAAATCAAGTTGGTCTAGTAAGTCCTGATTGCTTTTTCCTTTAGTTTAGACCAATACAGCTGCAACCTGGATGCCTGTAGTCACTAGAGCACTGCACCTGGCTTGCTTGTCCAGTGTAATGGAAATTACACAGAGAGATGTTAGACAAATGTATTTCTGATCACAACACTACTGTGTTTGGGTCTCTCCGTCTTTCCGCCTCACATTTTGACTCCAGGTTATTGCATTCCTGTCTCGATAGGCAGATCTGCCATAACGGGAAACACCACTTTCCAAACAAGACTAGATTATTTTGGTCACCCGAACTAAACATAGGAGGCATGACAATGTGTGGCCTTTCACTACCATAGGGGATGGCACATTTTCCTTTTTTAATATTCTGGCAGAAACAGAAAAAGGTCTGTAAACCATGCACAACACGCCCCAGGTCCTGAATGCAGCCCTTCGGTCCCAGCTGCAAAAAGTTACGTCTGAAATGCCAAGGAGGGGGGCACATTTGCAAAGCTGTAAACTCCTGGAAGCAACGTGGAGAAGGGAGGGCATGCTGAAGCCAAGTGAAGCAGGGCAGGAGACTTCCAGGCACACCCCTCGCCCCCCATTAAATCACTCCCCCTTTAATAAAACCCCGGGGGTCAGTACCTAGTTCTGCCACAGCTGCTGCACAGGCTGAGAGCACGAACTTGCTGGATCGGGGCCATCTCTCTGGAAGAGGCAAACTCTTCTCTTCCTCTGGGGGTAACATTCAGCAGGGAGCACCCAGGCTAACCCCCCACCAAAGAAATGACCCCCCACACACGCACTCTAGTAGCAACAGGGCAGCCAGCTTCTGCACTGTCTGCGAGCCCCACTTCTGGGGGTCATTTTAATGCTCCAGAAGGAGAACCCCACGCGGCGGCCAGGGTGCGAGCGCTAAGTGCTCCTGCGGCTGCTCAGTGACGAGCACAGGCCTCCAACGGAGGTTTCTGGGAAGTGTAGTTTTCCATGTGCCGGCCACCAGCTCCTCCTCTGACCCTGTCCGGGCACAGCATTGCCAATTCATTCTGTTAGCAGGTATTACACGCACCCCAGGCCTATAAGAAACTGTGGGATTTGTCTAACAAACCATTTTGGAAACTTTTTATTTGCCTTCGGGAGCCAAACAGCACAAGCTGAGGCCTTGTAATGATTTGTTCGCTGTCTGGGTCAGGCGCACACAGGACTTCGGAAGAAAACGCCACTTTCTTTTGTCCTTGGAACAAGGTATTTAGCAGCGTTGTTGGAATCTGACGGGGCTACACTGTGGCCTCAGACTTCAAGCTCCAGGCTGACAGCTGTGCACCGTAGCACCCACACCACGCCAGCCCCCAAGCAGACTACGGGCATCACACAAGCACAGACAAAGAGAATACCTTCATGCACACAGCTTAGTCATGAAGCCTATTTTTTTCCCCAAGTGAAAACAGATTCTCATGACTCCAGAAGCTGCGGCTTCAATCAACATCCCAGACATGATGAGCTTGCTGATAAAGCCACAAGAGTTGGGAAGACTCAAAAGAGGAAAAAACTGAGATCTGAAAATTAGTTAGCAATAAAACACTGGTCTATATTGGCCTTTACTTCCATAGGTCTGGAAGTGTTTAACACAGATGGGGGAGCCTTCCAGTTCTTATTTTAAAGATGGGGAAATAAGGCATGGAGCGGATGAGTAAATTGTCCAAGATTACTGCAACAGACTATGACTTGGTTTTAATATTTCGGGTTTAAATGTGTTTATGCTACCATGATGTTAAATGCCTGTTTCCCTGAATAGCTTGCACACTGGGCAGGATGGGTTAATCGTGCTTGGAGATGGAGTTGTGGAGATTTGCCTAAATATTCAAGTCGGGGTTACAGGACATCAAGCAGCCCAGGTGAACTCCAGGCAAACACCTGAAGGCACTCTGGTGTTTCTGGTGCCAGGGGGAAACTCTTGAGACAAGAAGACAGTGCACAAGGAGACGGTCCTGCGAAGGGAGCCCCCTGAGACGTGAGGAGAGCAGCAAGAGGGGAGTGAGCTGAGACAACAGCCGGGGTGCTTTTTCCTGACAGAGGCTGCTCTGGCTTTGGGCAGGAGGACTCTGCCTGCTGCAGTGCTGTGGACCAGTAACACTTGGTTTGTTTTAGGAAAAGTGGCCTGAATTTACCTGAATTTGAATGCCAAAATTGTCAAAATTATGCCTACAGCATCAGAGGGCAGGAAACTAGAGTTTTTGTCTAAAATCTGATTATATGTACCATTTGCATGAAGCAAATAAAATGATAATACAATAAAAAAGACGGGTCTAATGAAAGTTCCCTGTATAATTACGTAAGTCAATGCACATTGCTTCACGTTGGAAAATTAAACACATCATCATTTCATTAGGACCAGAAAACTACAACGTGAAATAAGGTTTTATTTAATTATCTGTGCTTTTTTATCCCCGTATGACAAAAATGGTGTGCTGGAGTCATATTTCACTTTGGACAGAGCTGAGCTGGGATCGAGACAGGTTGTCAAGGGCATTGAGGTTTCCAGGGCAATGGAAGATAGGGCATTCTTTCCCTGTGTGGTTTGTGGTCCGTGAGGGGCGCCACATTCACAAATGGTACTTGGTGTCAGGCCCATTTGATGCATGTTATGGCAGAAGTGGCCATAGCCAGTTAGGAGTCCACTGAGGTGGACCCAGGAGTGTCTGCCCAAATCAAAGCTGGGAGGTCTCGTAGAGGGGTTTGGGATAAGTTCTGAGGCCCATCGTTCTTCCCATAGTTGCGCAGCCCAGGCATCTGGGGAAGAACTTTTGGAAAGAGAGCGCAGGTGGTTCAGGTGGGCAATGAGCGGTGTCCTGGATTGCAGGTGCTGCCCAGCTGGAGGGTCTGAGTAGACATGTAGATGTAGGTAGCAATTATGGTTTAGTTCAGCATGGCGAAGGAAGTGAAGGCATTACTGCTCATGGCGGATGTCAGGGGGAGCAATACTGCTGATAAGTGGGAGCTGTGATGTAGGGGTAGAGCGGATGCAGCCAGATATGACTCTCATGTTATTGTTGAGTGCCCTGTCGACTTCGTGAATGTGGGTATTTCTGCACCACGCTGGGGTACAGTATTCAGCTCTTGAGTATGCCAGTGCCAGGGATTGATCATTAAGGAAGGGATTGAAAACAAAATGGAGAGCATCACCACGTAATGGAAATGACTTTCAATGAAGCATTGGATGCACTGTCAAGATGCTCAAGGAGGCTTGATTTGCTTTATGAGTCTGCGGAGATGTACATTTAATTCAAATGGTGACAGGACTAAAGAAACAGTGTCTGATCATTTTGACCTAGTTTGCTATGTTTTTAAAACATATAATGTATATATGAATACACCATGATCCAAAGGATCTTTGGTTACTCTGTGTGTAGCAACCATTGATCCTCTGGATCACGGTGTATGCTCAAGATGTCTACAACCATCACACCAAGACCTTTGACCTATATGCCTAGACTAGAGTTTGGAGGAGTAGAGGCTGCCCAAGACCTACCATCTCTCTTTTAGACCATTGAGGCAGAATCCAAAGGCCAGACCAAATCCAGATGTTCAGTGCCTCAATGGCTGTAGCTTCTGCCAGAGAAGAACAGATAAGAACTGCTGCTGACTGCCTAATGCCTCCTCAAGGGCGCGTTTCTGTCAGGGTGCCCTTAGCTCTTCTCTAGGGTGAATTCAACTCGCCGCACTCAGCCCACTCCCCCACAGATACATTGTGGGGCATGAGGCTGTGACTGTCCAGCTCCCTGTGTCTGCCTTCCCCTGGCATGAAAAAATCTCCTGGGGGAAAAAGAGGACAAAAGAGCGCCCTCTTAATTTAGTGCTTGGGCTGGTTCGTCCCTTGCCCTGCCCTGATAAGACTACTGAGAATTACGTTATTACTTTACACAAAGAATATGGGAATCCGCTTTGTACGACCTACTGTAACTCATCTGATGTGCTATACTGTACGACGTGCTGTACTGTGCAGTGACATGCTGCACTTCCAGAGCATGGCAAGGTGTGCTACAGTTAACGTCTCTGCTCGCACACCAAGGGCGGTTGGTTCGATAGGGTTAATTTGCTAGGTTTTCAGTTGCCATGGTGATGGGTGCAGCCAAAGCGCCTATGTAGAATTTCTGTTCTCCAGAATCCGCCCCTGGAAAAGTGCAGCTTCAAGTGTATAGACTCATTTTTAGCCTTGGGAAATAAACTTAAGTTGATTTATACCATGCTTATCTGGCAAAAAAAGTTTCCTTCTCATGGGGTCATTGGGAAAAACAGATTGAGAGAAGAATGCTTTCTTTTGGACAGCTTGTGGATTTGGAAGCCAGACTTGTTAGTGTCTGCAGGGGTCAGTGAAAACAGCTGAGGCTTAATTCTTCTGAAATTCTGCAGGAAACAGCTTCCCTGGTAAGGACCCCTCTTTTATTTTCTTTTCATGGCAGGGATGAATAGCGTGACACTTTGGATTTTGTCCGAGGTTGGTCTGATAAAAGCCTGCGCATGGAAGAAGGCAGGTTTGTCCTCACTCAGAATGGAAGAGTAGCGCTGAGATCTCTCGGAGCGCTGCCAGAAGTCAGCCCAGCTCGGCCAGTCTCCCAGATAGAAGATAATCTCAATTACAGGATGTGCCAAAACAACCATAGACCAGCTCAATGGCCTTGACCTCAGAAATAATGCTGTAACCCCAGGGACTTCGTACCAGAAAAAATTTACCAGCTATATAGCTGTGCCAGCACAAGGCCCAAGCTCTGAATACTTGTTCTGTAAAAACACAAGCTTAGCAGACACCAGAGGCCGAATCCTGCAGGCTTTACACAGGCCATCCCCCCTGGGGAGAGTTAGTAGCAGAATTATTTGTGTAACGGGCTGTGGGATTCAAGGGCTTTCATCAGTGGGCTTTCAACCTTTTGTCATTTGCAGATCCCTAAAAATTTTCAAATGGAGGTGAATTGTAATTACCATTGATCACGGTCATGTTTTGCAGACCCCTTAGACACAGCCTGCAGACCCCCAGGGGTCTGCGGACCACAGGTTGAAAACCACCGGTCTAGTCTGTCCTGACCTGCCTACGTTCGCCACTTCCTTACAGCGCACCGTGTGCACCTTCTCCGCAGCCTCGTCCTCCCTTTGAGAGGAAACACAGTTGTGGTATTACCAGGGCACAGGCTTTGTCCCATAGTGACAGCTAGAATGAACTCCTGATACAGGATTCGAGTGTGACCCCTGACTACTCAGAGCTGCCAGGTATGATTTGGGCTCCCAGCAGTGCACCTGGTGTGCCATGGCTAGGAGAGGGCAAGGCAGGATGCTCTTGACCTGGCAAACCCCTGGGGTGCCACCCATTTGGTTCCCTGTAGCCATACAGATGTACAGTTAAGCAAAGGGATGTTTCTCTAGGGCTGGCAGGGGAGGGAAGTGTTGTAAATGCTGTGGGTGCCAGTGACTTAAGAAATCACATCTGAGATAAAACAATGGCTCCTGGTTTGGGCCCCAAGGCATCCAGTACAAGGTTAGAGCTCCTGAGACCTAGGGGAGGGAAGATACACACTGGTTTTTTGCCTAAATTCAGTGCTTGGTGTGTCTTCTCTGCACAACTCCTACTGCCCGACAGTTCCTGACTCTATTTTTTTCTTTACAAGTCCTTTCCTGCATTGGGAGCAGAGGGCAGAGCCCAGGTCTTGCTCCAAAGACTGTGCTGTCTTAACTGGGGCCCTGAATCTCACTCTCTTTTTCTCTTTTGGCCCCGTGGCTCCTTTACACTTGACAGCCATAGGGGCAAGGGAGATACTTTTGCCCATACCTAACCTGTGGCCTGGTAGTTAGGACCCTGTTGGGAAGCAGGCAATGCAACTTCAAAGCCCCTCTGGTGATGGCGGCGGGGGGCCACGTATACAAC